CGTACGACCCGCATTCATCGCACGCAACTCGCGCTCTCTGTGCGCAACTCGGATCCTCGGCGTGCAATGTCTACTCGGATCCTCCTCGCACAACTCGCGACCCGTCGCACACAACTCAAGCTCTCCACGCACCGCTCGCGTCCACCTCGCGCAACTCCTGTCCTCTGCGCGCTGCTGCTCTGTTCGGCAGCCTGTCCGAGCGCCGCGGTGGATCTAGACGGCCGATTGCTCGTTTGGTGGCTTCGCTCTGGCCCGTGACCGCGCTATTCATTGTACTGTTCGAATTCCATACATGCCTCTCCCTGTATCCCGTTCTGTCTCAATGAGAACCGCCTCCATTCCTCAACTGCGCCTGCGTGATATTGCAAATATATATATCAAAAGGCCCATTATATTGAATACCTGCCCTCGCCCACAAGGGTCTGCAGACTCGCCCGGGGGATGCAGAATGCGGCCGGCGGTGGCAGACTTTGCCACCGGTGGCCGGGTCTGCAAGGGCCTGTCAGTTCTACACACTTCGGGTGCATCGTTGTAGAGCGGTTGCAGACGTTATCTTCGGTGGCCGAGTCTGCATCCGGTTCTGACCTGTGCATACGTCCTCATACTTAGGCAGTCGCGCGCGCAGTTTTGCTGATGTAACGATCCTTCTAATGATGTGATGTATCAATCAGCACACTTCTAATGATGTGATGTATCAATCAGCACAGAAGATCAGTAGTAAGCTATCATCTCCAGACAGCGCAATGGTTCTTCGAAAGAATAGAAGTATGCTGCGAATATCGCGCGGAGTATGGCCGCGGGTCATACAGAAGCAGAGCAGCGTGCGAAGGATACGAGTCGCGCATGGACCGTGATACGAGTCACGCGAGGAATGGGAGGTGTGTGCGGAGGATGCGAGTCGCAGGCGAAAGAGGCAGGAGTTATGTAGCGAGAAGAGGCCCAGGGACAAAGGGGATAACAGAACCGAGAGGTCGCCCAAGCGGACGCCAAGTACAGAGCACAGAGAAGGGAGACGTCGTGGCTGAGAGAGACTACTAAGACGAGCCGGAGGCGTCCGATCCCGGGTTCGATTGCACTTGCGCGGGGGCCCTGTGGAGTCAGATCCCATGTCAGTGCATGGTAGCCACACATGAACACAATACCCACCCCACACGGGCGAGCGCGGACGCCAGCTTACGCGCCTTTTTCTCTGCTTTCTGTCGGAGCTCCAGACGATCGGCTGCTGAGACTTCTTGGTGCCCCTTGCCCTTGATGGGCACGGCAGGAGCGACACCATAGATCTGCCTGCATAGATGGTTAGCTAGCAAGTATTGATGATGATGCATGGTAGCTTACATGTCCCACCAGGCAAGGGTCTCCTTGCACCATGGAGAGTTGGCGTCATTGAAGAGGTTGACGATCCGAGTGTAGAGCTCGAGGTTGCTGAACTTGCCGACGTCATCGAAGACCTTGAAGTGCGGCGCACTGCTGAGGCAGAAACGCGCCTGAGTGGACACTGGAGCGTCAGTAGATATCACGGAATGGTACGAGAATAGCTCACCAAGATGGCCACATACGCGATGCTGCGCGGGCTAACACGGCCGACCTTGTACTTACGTGCAATGGGCTGCATGCCGACCACTACGCCCGCACAAACTCCGGGAAGAAACGAGGATGATCGCCCAGTCCACAGGCGCTTGTAGCACTAATACATGCGCGGCGTCAACAACGTTCAGACGGGGGCGCGCGCGCGGAACTTACAGCAGCCAAGAAGGCGCTCTTGAGCAGGCCAACCTGCTCATTCCCTTGGAAGGGTAGGTCGTTGTCGCGGTCCAGGTCATACAGGAGAGATGCGTAGTCCCCCGGCGTGATTTTGATATCGCCGGCAAGCACGCGCGCACGGAAGCTACAGTTGAGATCCAACCGACGATGGTCAGCGAGCAGTGGCAGACCAGGCAACAATCCATCAGCACTTACCTCTCCGGTTCGTCGTCAAAGGTCGACAGGCACTCTTGAGGGCACAACAACCGCGCCGTATAGTCGTTGTTCCACCCGCGCAGATGCTTTGCAAGACTCAAGGGCGCGTTAGAGAAGTCTTCGTGCGGCTTGAGTCCATCCACACGATAAAGGAGAAGGATATCTTTGCGGAGCGAGTTTGTGTCGTCTCCACGCGAAGCCTTCGCAAAGTGATCAATCTGGAACTATTAGTTTTACACGCAGAGGGCGGAACAGAAACTCACAAAGTCTGAGTACGTTATCAGCTGATCTTCGTCGAGGATGTCCAGGTCTGTCTTCAAGTCTGGCATGATGTCGAGGAGCGCGTGGAATTGATACAGATACTCCCGCTTTTGGAGGCGAGCATCTTCCCTAATGATTGGCTCGTCAGACATGTGTACACACGGTGAGAGCAAAAAATACGGTACCGCGCTTTTTTGGCTGCTTTGGCCACATCCTCATCTTGGTCTTCATCGTCGTCGTCATCGTCATCTGAGTCTGAGTCGTCACTGGCCGCATCGGGATTATCCTGAGCATACTTTGCCCCAAAGACAAGCGCGTCGTGCGAGCTGATGAACGGGTGTATGACGCGTGATACAAGCCGTGCTGCCATGCGCAAATTGTCGATATCATGGGTGACCCTGGGATAAATGAGCGAGAGGTCAGCAATGTGAGTATATGCGCGCATATACTCACCGGTCAGAATGAATGTCGTGGTGCATCTTTGCTATGATCTTCGTGAGCTTCTTGGCGCGTTTCTGAGTGTGCTGATCACACGCTGAGTCCGGGCTTCTGGCTCGCTTGCGAGCAGTAGGGCCTGTGGCGTCAAGCTCCTGTCCGGATATATGCGCACGCGCACCGTCTTCCATGCCATCCAAAGCCATCCGTTCGCGGTTGTGCACTTGCTGGCTGGCCGAGTCCCCGTAAGAAGTGACAGGAGGTGGCGGAGCTGCGATGGGGATATCCGGCAATGGCGGATTGCGCAATGGAGGCAACACGCGTGGAGGCGCTTGTGGCTCGAGGGTTTCCTTGTCCTTCTTCCTAGTGCGCCGCGCTCTTTTGTCAGCCTTGTCTTGTTTGTCGCGGCCCATTTTGAGGTATTCGTGTACGAGCAAGGATGTGGGAGGAGGTCAAGACACGAGACGACGCGTCAGAGGAGAAAAATCCACATACCAGCCACCCATCACGTGAGCGCGTCCGCCGCGTCGATCCGCCGCGCTACCTGTACAGTACCACTTGACAGCTCGCATCCGAAATGAGTTGACCGCATTCGCTCACAGACCACCCCGCCTGTGCCGTGACTGCGATGAAGCTTGTCTGCCTCCGCTGCAACACAGTGTTTACCGAGTCTCGTGCTCTCACTACTCACAAGACACGCCATTGCAAGACAACAAAGGCCGCTCTGGGCACCAAGATTGCGAAGCGCAAAGCCCAGGAGGATGCAGACAGAGAGGGACGCCACAAGCGCAGGCGAGAGAAACGGGAGGAGGAAGCAGAACACATGCTCGTGGATGAACCGGTCAGTATATTTGAGCTACGCCGCAGCTGCGGCATGGCCTTCGGCTGCTGACACCTTTGTTCCCAGTTTGTCGTGCCGGACGATGTAGAACCGCCCATGCCTATGCCGCCGGCCTCCTGTAGTCGCACGGGAAGGCCGCGCAAGGTACCAGGCAAGTTCCGGGACCTCCTGCCGACCAGTTACACTGGACTGCCAGCTCACGTCCTCGCCGCACATCCACCCCCTCCTCGCATCCCATCCCCACAACCCCTGTCGCCCCGACCGCTCTCAGAACCCCCTCCCATCCCTGGAGAGCAGTCAGATGGATCCCGCTCGCAGTCAACCATACAGCCGACTGACTTCAGGACCAAGCCGGACCAGTTCGGTCTGTACCGTGTCTACACATACAAGCCTCAACGCGAACCTCGCAACACGACATGGGAAGCCGTCTGTGACGAAAGCATCCCCAACAACACTGTCCCAACCTCCACTCCACGCCCCGAACCGTCATCGCTGAGAGAGACCGCCCGAATGGCTCCCACCCGATGTGCTCCTCCCACCGTGCCTTACGCACCCTTCCCCAACGTCACCACCTTCGACATACTCTATTGGCAATCCAAGTCATCCAATGTCAAGTCTAATGAACAGATAAACGACCTCACGCGCATGATGCAGGAGCCTGGGTTCAACACGGCGGATGTAGCAAGGTTCGATGCAGCACGCGAGGGACGGCGACTTGACACGTACGTTGAGGACACTGAGGGCTCGCCTCTGTCCGCGCGCGACGGCTGGATCCATGGCGCAGTCAACATCAAACTCCCCAAGGAAGGCATCCGCTATGCGTCGGAGGCAGATGCACCGACCTTTAAGGTCGAAGGGGTCTACTACCGCTCGCTGACCGCCGTCATTCAGAACGCGTACCAACAGCCGTGCGTAAAGGACTGGGATATAATTCCATTCAAGTTGTACTGGATTCCTCCTGGCGACTCATCTGACTCTCGCTCCGATTCTGTTGCATCACGGAGCCCGTCCCCGTTCCCTCTGGCAGCACTGGCATCTCAGTCATCATCCTCCGCCTCCACCTCTGCTGCCTCTTCTGCCTCCTCCTCCTCCTCCTCCGGGTCCTCCAGTGGTCGAGCAAGCTCCCCGCCTGGCATCCGCGTACGCAGCGAGACCTACAACTCAGACGCTATGCTCGCCGATGACGCGGAGATGCGTTTGCGTCCACGCGAGGCAGGAGACCCGGACGATCTTGAGTATGGCATTGCACCGCTGTCTATATTCACAGACTCTGCGCATCTTGCAAACTTTGGCACTGCATCATTGTGGCCCGGATACGGCTACTGCGGTTCGCAAAGCAAGTACACGCGCGGCATGCCCACGGCATTTGCCGCGCACCATCTCTTGTACATACCATCGGTATGTTTGCTTTTGTTCTGTGGGTGCGCGTTGTTTACTCACATACACCCGACAGCTGCCCACTGTGATTCAAGACATCTACATCGAGATCTACGGTGTACCTGCGACGGCCGAAATCCTCACGTTCCTCAAGCGCGAACTAATGCAAGAGATCTGGCTTCTTCTTCTGGATGATGCCTTCATGTTTATCTACGTGCATGGGCTGGTACTTCTGTGTGGTGATGAGATCCGGCGCCGCCTGTTCGTACGCTTCAATATCCATGCAGCGGACTACCCCGAGAAGTCAGTTTGACTGTTCCTGCTCTTGCTCTCGCCAAACTGACCTTCATCTTTTCTCCAGGATTCTTCAGGCGTGTCTCAAGTACTTTGCGAAGTGCCCGTGTCCCCGCTGCAAGATCAACAAAGACAAGATCATCGAAATGGGCACCCGCAATGATTTGTATCGACGCAACCATGTCCGCATCGACAACGACGACCTTCACTACCGCATCAACCTTACGCGTCGTTGGATGTTTGAGGAGGGAGTGTCGCTCAAAAGCGTGTACATGAAGCGCGTGCTCGATCCGCTCTCACTGACCCCGACTCGCGTAAGGCTCTCGTGAATTGCGCACGAGCTACATATTAATTGCTATTCACAGAACACCTTCTCTATCCGACTGCGGGAACATGGATTCAATTTCTATTCACTCTACGTGCCCGATCTCATGCACGAGATCGAGCTCGGTGTCTGGAAGTCCATCTTCTCCCACCTACTTCGTATTCTGTATGCCGCAGGTGGCGACGCTATTCAGGAACTCAACCGACGGTGAGTCTGCAGCAACGGTCGGCTCATAACGAATCTAACACATCACTATAGCTTTCGCCAAATCCCTACCTTCGGGCGCATTCGCCGCTTCTCTGACAACATTGCAGATCAGCGCAAGCTCGCTGCGCGTGACTACGAGAACAGCTTGCGTGTGCGTCCGTCTGCACACGCGCATACATCCATCGCTGATCTCTGCGTATTAGACCTCAATGGCTCCCGTGGAGGCCCTTCTGGAGCCGGAGGACGACAAGATCGTGCTCGACCTCATTTACGACCTCAACTATTGGCACTGTACCGGGAAACTCAGGGTGATCACTAACCCTCAAATCGGGACCCTCGAAACCCGTGCGATCATGGTGGGCCAGGACGTGCGCATTTTCGGCAAGGTCACCTGCGCAAAGTACGTCACTATTGACTTGCCTAAGGAGGCTGCGGCACGCGGACGACGAAAGGCGGCGCTGTCCCAAAAGACCGGCAAGGTCGCTGCTGGGAAGCAGGTTGAAGCTCGCCGTCGCCGTCCTTTCAACATGAATACCTACAAGTTCCATGCCCTCCGTGACTACCCAGCCAACATCCGCCTCCACGCTACTACCGACATCTGGTCTACGCAGACTGTGAGTATACGGCCCTAAGTTACGAGAGAAGCGGCAATACTGATATCTGTACGACAGGGCGAACTTGAGCACCGGCATGTCAAGCGGTTCTACGCACGCACGAACAAGCACAAGCATGAGTATCAGATTGCGCAGCATACAAGACGTGCGGAGAAGATGCGTATCATCAAAGTGCGCGTTGATGCCCACCGGGCAAACTTGACCTCGGTTGCGGAGGCTGAGGGCGAGGCCGAAGAACTGCCGCAAGCCGGGCCCGCAGCAGGTGAGGGTGGAACTGCGCGTGGACAAGCGGCTGCGAGCGGTGACAACACCGATGGGATGGCATTCGCAAGCCCGTGGGATCGCTATCACATTGCGAAGTCCCAGCGCGACAGTCATGACATGACCGCGTGGGTTTGTGAGCATGAGGGTGATCCGGCTTTCAAGGTAGGTCGCTTGCAGCAGCGATTGGGTCCTGCAAGAGCTAATGCACTATCACCCAGGACTTCATTCCGCGCCTGAGAGCGCACCTCCTCTCACGCCTGGACCCCCACGTAGACGACCCTAACCACACGGTGCCCGCATTGTACATCGCAGGGAACCGGATCTATCATCACCGTGTCTTCCGTGTGAACTACACGACGTACGACGTCCGCCGCGCTCAAGACTCGGTCAACCCACGCACACATCCCCACATCATGCTCCTGTCACCGCCGAGCGATGAATCCGACTCCGAATCATGCGCGGGGGGCTCTACCGCAGCGGACGAACATCCGTATCTTTACGCTCGCGTCATCGACGTCCTCCACGTCAACGTGTATCCTCTGGGCTCCCCTTCAAGCCCTCCCCAGCGCGTGGATGTGCTATGGGTGCGATGGCTCGCGTTGGACCCCTCTGCGCCGGGCGGGCCTGCTACGAAACGCTATCCTCGCGTCGAGTTTGTGAGGGATGGTGCCAGTGGAGACCCCGCATTCGGCTTTGTGGATCCAGCAGATGTACTCCGCGGTGCACACCTGATGCCAGTGTTCGCACAGAAGCGCACCAAAGACCTTCTGGGACCCTCGCCAGCTGCACGTGTTGGCCAAGAATACTCTGACCTGCGAGCAGACGACGAGGACACTGACTTCCGATATTACTATGTGAATATGTACGTATCGTACCGCTGTCATCTCGTGCTGCGTTACTGATGCTCATTTGTCAGCTTTGCGGACCGCGACATCTTCCTCCGCTACCATGGCGGAGGCATAGGCCACGTTTCCCTCGGCAGACATCATCGCGGCTACACAGCGGACGACTCCGCGGCACATGACGACACCGCAGTCCTTCAAGAGGAGCCCGCTGACGAGGCCGAGCACACTGGCACCGTGGATGTTGCTGACGGCGCCGGTCCCGCAGAAGTGTCCAACGAGGCCGACCTACTCGCGATGCTTCCAGACCTCGGCGCCGGCATCGGTGCCCTTCGATTTCCGACTGAGGACGAGGCACCAGGGAGCGAAGACGGGGACGACGAGCGAGATGAAAACGACCCGGACCCAGACAACGACCTCTCGGATGAAGACGACGACCCGTACTCAGATGAGGATGACGCACTCGATGGGGATCTCGCAGAGGATGGCCTGGCCGATGGCTTCGCGGGGGACGAGTTCGACGGAGAAGGTTTCGCGCCGCTGTGATGTATGTACTACTAGCTTACTCAAGTCGATGCACGACATATGTATCCCGGACGTCCTCGCGCCCGCGCGAGGCCCTACCTTCTGCGCCTCGCGCTTCAGCGTACCCGCTCGCCATCGCATGCCGCCCATGCTCCGTGGGCGCGTTGTAGGCAGGAGGATAGTAGGTGTATTGAACGAGTCCCCCAGTGGTTATACACCCCCCTGCATACTAATACCTTCCATGGCGGGAGTCTACATACTCGGGAACCGTTGGCAAAGTGTGTATACTACAGGCGCGGGGGCCTCGGGGTCTACATACGTATGCAACCGCTTATCCTGGATGTAAGGGGATGCAGACCTGACCGGCGCTTGCAGACGTCTGTCACGCTGCGACATTTTTGCTGATG